TATTCTCATAACCGTCCTGACTTCAACTGAATAAATAATAAAAATGACCATATACATATTAAATCACTCTACTTTAAATGAATGACTTTTTAATTCACTTTCAATTCCAAATAGTGGGTCAACGTATCAACATCAATACATTAAATATTTGTTGATTAGGCCTAATATGTGTTACTGAATGGTGGGTGCCCAACCATCGACCTCATACCAAAAACGAATAAATACAAGATTTTTTGAAAAAAATAGGGTTAAAAGCACTTTCTGCAAAACCGATTAGAAAAACAAGTTAAAGACTGTCTACAGTAGAACATCTCAAAGGTCACAGCAACGCACATACTTGAATTTCGCGCTCTCACATTTGTATAGTGATTCAGATTGGAGTAGTAAGGACAGCATTCCTACGGCCTACGTTTTTCCTTTTCTAGTATGCTTCCATGAGTGTCCAATCTTCTCTTGAAAGAGTCAATTGAAGGTGCTGACACCACTGCTTCAGGCAGCAATTTTCAAGTATTGATGACTCGGTGTGAAAACCTGTATGTCCCTGGTATTTTGTTCGTTCTTGGCTTTTGTAATCGCCTGCTATATCCTCTGAGATGTCTCAATCTAGTGTGAAGAAAAAGAGAGAATAAGTTAGGTCCGAAATCGTTTCTCAGTATTCTGTACATCAAAATTAGATCACCCCTTATTCCGCGAAAGGACAGAGTAAAGAGGTCCAGATTTTAAAGCAGCTCTTTCAATTCTGGATTCAAACTTGATACAGATTTTTGCACTAAGGATATGAGACTTAAAGTCTGTGTTATTCCCTCTATAGTACACCTCTGTAGGCGCCCAATCTTCTCTTAAATGGGTCAATAGAATGTACGAACACCATTTCTTCGCATCACAGGTTTGATTTTGTTGAAGAGTTTATGGCAACTCCCCCAAAATTAATCTTGACTACGCCTAATTTCACCGACCATTTCACTAAATTATTTAGCAGACAGTGTTATTCGAACAATGACAATTCGTCCATTTCTTTGTACTGTTGTGATCGCTACCATGTCTGTATAAATGTGTATGCTTGTGACAGACGAAAATTCAGATTCCTCACCCTGCCCTAAATAATCACCGCTTAAACATCACTTGATGAGATAGTCCGCCCCTCCTTTATATGTAATCTGTTCTTAATAATATTTTTCGGTTCGCCTCAACCTGCTAAGCCTATGCCTCACCTCGCTGCGCCTTGAATCGGTTTGACCGTAAATCCGCCTCTATATTCACTCGCTCGAACATATAAACCTCTCTGCTCACATTCACTCGACGTGCCTGTAACTTTATCATCTGTACTTTACAGTAATAGACTGAAGTGGCCACCTCTTATTACCTTCTGAACTCGTACGCTGTTGGGATTTATATAATAACAGTGATCGATAAACGAATCAAGGAATTGTCTCGAAGTCAAGTCATTACAAATTCGTCTAAACATTGTCTGTCGGTTAGGACTCGACGTTTAAGTATAGCCTTTCCGAAACATAACTGGTAAATATCCTAGGTGTGACGTACCTGTTAAGCTCACGCAATAGTACTTTCACAACGAAAAATTGTGCGCGTGAATCTGACCCACCGGACTTGTCAAAGTGAACCAAACTAATATAATGTCGGCCAGAATGGCATGAGTTGATGGTGGTGCGAAAAGGCATAATATTCAATAATTAGTTTGTCTGCCCCATTGTGATAAAAACATGACATTTTGGAGGGCGGGAAAAGTATCCGAAAACCTGAAAGTAATTTCGTAATAGGTGAAAATAAAAATCGAATAATTATTTGTAATGTTCTAGCAAGTAGTGCTTTCAGCCAGATATGTACAGTAAAACTAATGAGGTCGGCATGAATGTCATAGACTAGTAGAAATACTTATTTTAGAGGTATATTAACCGCTACAGGCGGGACATAGAATAACGAGCTGTAGAGGTACTTATTATTCTTTACGAGTAGTCAAGCTGTGAAATTCACTGCCGTAGAAACTGATCCAAGCGTCTTCATAGGAGTCCTAGGGACTAAGGAAAATATTTCAATATACTCTACCAGTTATTATTATTATTATCCGCAAACATCTTATGGGTACTTCTTTCTCTTTTGTCGTCTGACATTGCCAGGTTCCTAGCTGACTGACATTAACTTAATCGATCGGCGCTTACTTATGTTAAAACACTCTTCCACTAGTCTAATGATTGATAATCACACGTCCTACCGTATTGTAATACTGACTAGTACTCATAACTTACTAGCTCGGTCGATGCTGATAACGGATCATCTATATTTATGTTCGGCCATGACTGCTTATTACCAAGCTTTGGTAGCATTTACATTGTTCTTAAAATCAACATTTGTATTTTGTCACTTTGCACACCATAGGGAACAGCAAAACGACATTCAGGTCGCTTACATGCGTTCCTCATGACCGTGTTGAAATGTAAGTTGTTTGGTAGATTGAATCAAAGTTGACGACCGTAAAACAAAAGGCAATACACTGGAAGCAGGTACAACAGATAAAACGCGCAGTACAAAATGTTAGGATATACTAAATCTAGCCCCGATGTGGAAAACTGTAAAAATCGAATTGCAAGCCGAGGCAAAGCTTCAGTTAATTATTAACCCGTATTTAGCTCAAACTGTAGATTAGTCTACCACACGTGAGGTTTGATGTTCACCCGTCGTTTCAAGTAGTGGAATGCAAGTGAACAGCGGTGATACATCTAGTGATATCATGAAGCTGTTCTTCACTGATATATTTTTCAGATTCTCAACAAATTCAAAGGATTCCTTGTCAGTATACTTACAGAAGAACTATTTTCGTACTTCTTTCATTCGGTTTCTTTGAACTTTGTGTTTTTTTAACCTTGTATTTTTTCTCAACATTCATCTCTTGATTCTTACATAACTGCTATTCTACTGACCACTCAATAAAATATTGTGTTCATTCTCTTTTTCACATATTATACAGCGTAGCAACTTCTTGATTTTCAAATAATTACATTGAATATAAATAATCATCTTTCTTCTACTTACTTAATTTGTAGTCGAAATGTCACTATGTAATTATTACGTAACGTATTATTCCATTATTGTGAATCATATATATATATATATATATGTATATATATATATATATATATATATATATATATATTAGTGTAGAGCCATGATGAAAAACTAATTGAAAAGAAAGTTCGGCGAGATTCTAATTTAGGGTCGAGCCAATCACAAGCGTTTGAGCAATTTCAATTATTAAGCAATCAGATGACAGTATAAAGTGAAAATATATTATAAGAAAGTAATGAATTACAGTGGATATTCTTCTTTTACATGATTTAAAAACTTGTTAAAGTTTGATAAAGGTTCAGAGGTTCTGAATCCATAATCCATATGGTATAGAAACTCGTCCATAAGGTTATGGTTAGGGTTAAAGCCTCGCAATAAACACCTCTTCTCATAAATCCGTTAAAAAAACGATCGTATGATAGCACCCTAACCCTAACCTAACCCTAATGTTAACCCTAACCCTAAACTCTAACGCTAACCTAACCCTAACCCTATGGACGGGTTTCTATACCACATGCATTATGAATTCAGAACCTCTGAAACTTTATCGAACTTTAACAAGTTCCTAAATCATGTAAAAGAAGAATGTCCACTGTAATTCATTACTTTCTTATAATATATTTTCACTTTATACTAACTGCCTTCTGATTGGCTAATAATCATCAAAGCCATTTAAGATTCGTTCAAAGGTCGTCCCTAAATTAGAGTTTCGCCGAAATTTCTAAGCTCATTTCTTTCCTTCTTTACTTACCAAATGTCAGAATATGAATTTTCACTAAATCTATTAAGTACTTAAGGTTAGGTGCATACAGATCAAATAACTTCCACTAGAACTCATGATGAAATGTAGTGTTATGCCTCAATCATCATCATTTGCCTTGATTTATGCTGATGATGTCAAGATATGGAGAGCGATGCGATGTAAGGGTACCAGCTCAGAAATCCAAAATGACCTGGAGAAATTATTTGAATCGTCTCAACCCCATCAGTTGCAGACGAATACTTCCAAATGTATTTCGATGAATATCGGTCGTCAAGGTGCAGATACATACGCGATGAATAACACTGAACTACTCGTAGTCCAGACACATAATGACTTGGCAGTCATCGTTAACCAAGACTTAAAAACTGCTGCACTACTGTGAAATGTCCACCAAAGGTTCTAGAACCTTATGGTTAATACGTAGGGCTTTTGGTCATGTCTATGTTAAAACTTTTTTGACCTTGTATGCAGTGTTCGTGCGCCCAAAACTTGAGTACTACAGACAAGCAGCAAGGCCCGGCATGAAAAAGACAGAGAGCTTTCGGAAAAGGTTTGGAGAACAGCAACAAGGCTGATTCCCAGAATAACAAAGCTGTTGTATGCTGCTCGACTGGCCAAACTCAACCTATTCCAGTTGTCATATCGTAGAACTTGAGGCGACTTGATTACAGTTTTCAAATTGTTTAGTGATGAATTCGCATCTGATATGCCCTCATTTTTCTTGTCTTTCAAAACAGAGAATTTACGGGGACACTCCAAAAATGTTCACAAGACCATAACAAATTACTTGTCAGCTGACTATCGACTTTTCCATCAAATCATCAACGAATGGAATTCAATACCTCAGCACGTGGTTGAAGCTCCACGAGTGGACTCTTCCTAAAAAAAGTTGGATCAACCGAGAGACCATCAGCAGCAGTATTTACACAGGCCCACAAGCCTTCAGACGTTTGGAAACTGAAGCCGTGTTTAAAATAAGCAACTTTCTCGAATATCATTGATGTAGCATTTTGTGTTATATGCGTATGTGACTTGGACTTCAATAAACAAAGGATCAAAAAATTGTGCGAAAACCTAATTTTCCAAGTCAACAAGTCACATATAAACGATCGATGACTTTTGTTTTTCTTTGATATTTATATGTATTTAGGTCGCTAATGTTTTCTCGCACTGTTTGGTTTTGATTCCACCCTATGAGGGTAACGTGAAAGGCGTATACGGAGACGATATACAAGTAAGTATCGTCTTGGTTCGCCGATGATCGAAGAATTTCATCGCCGCAAATCTTAGTGCAGGTTTCCAATTTATAAAGTATACTTTAGGTACACCTCAATCATGTGGTGTTCATGAACATTTAGATGATATATTTCATTTTTGGATGTGTTGTTACTGATTTTTCTGGAATATTCGCCTTGATTGCGACAATTTTGTGCCATCTGAGACCACTTTGTCCTCTGGCTACAGTGAATAAAGTGGACCGGCCCACTTTGAATACTTTTAAACAATATCTTACATGATAAGATTTCGCTAGACCAAAGTTATTTATCTTCTCGCAGTACAAAACGATGTATACCTTCTTTGAAAACCATGAAAATGAGAGTATTTTCGGTATTTTATCAGAATAACCAAACTATTACAATGCTGGTATTCGGCAGATAATTTTGATTTCTGATGTTAAAAGCAACTGAACTCTCACTTTTGTTCATAAGATGAGATAAGAGTCGATCTTAAATAACAGTTACATTTCTTTTAATCTATAGAACATTCAAATTTTGTTTTATTTTATGCATTGGGAGAACCCAAGCAACCAATAAAGGCGATGAAAGCGTAAATAAATCGGAAATGTCGCTTTCTTGCCTATAAGTCGGTTATACAGGGGGAATGTTGATTTTTGCCCCTTAGGTCGTGTATTCGGGGGATATTTATCGACAGTTAACTTTGTGCAAAACTTGTAGTTTTATGATGACAAACATTCGACGTACTTTAATCCACATATTCTGAAGATTTCCTTTAAAACTAACTGATATAGTTTTTTGGTAAAAATCTCCAGGTTTCATTTCGTAAGATTGTCATATTGAAGAAACTGAGTTACTGCAAGAAAATGGTTTTGGTGAAGCAGTTTTATCTATTATTTTCTTACAGAACTTGAGTTTTTTCTACCATACTATTTCTTCCGACTTTTCGTTTATTTCCTTCCCTTGGGTTTATCGTCCTATTGTAATGCTTGTTGTTTTACCGATTATCTGCTTGGGAAAATTGAGATCTGTTTCGATTTGCCTATGTGAGCTGTTGAAATCTGTTGAAATTTGCGCTAAGTTAAACACTTATGATGATATACAAGTAATTAACTACTTAACTAATGTTATAACGTGGCCTGTGTGCCCTGTTAATGTATAATGTAATGATACCGCCAATTAGGGAACAGTGAATTATCGATTGAACTAATGACACATAAAACCCGTGCGAGCAGCCTAGAGTCGTTATCTGTCTTGCTTTCCGCCTAGCCCGGTATGTTAGGTCCAGAACACTAATCTCAGCCTCTGCGATATAAATCATGTATTCCAAGCACACTGGGTTTATATATCAACCAAACAGACCACATCGTACCATAAAATAGGAAACATAATTTGTACAGGATTTATTCAAAAGTGCCTGTGAATAAGAGAGATAGTAATACATAGACATGGCATAATTCAAGAATGGTAAATAATATAATAACAGTTCATAGGTCAAAATAAAGCTCATGATAAGAGGAATACGAATATGAATAGTTTAGTTACATAGCAATTATACGATAGAAATATACGTATAATATTGGTCCATGAATGGATTTCAAAAGTTACGATTCATTATTTTTATCGGGATATAACACTTAATTCTCAATATGCTTATTATTGGCTTAAATATCAACCTGATTATTAATATCTTTTCTTACGACATTATTTATAAGCTAATTCTCTGATCATTGATTTATGTTTACTCTTTTTATTATGATTGTTTGGTGTAATAGTTCACTCCTTTGCTTATGGCTATACTCCTTATTTTTAGATTAACAGCGTAATCAATAAACAAAGTTTTTGCTTGGTCATCGTCTTTACATGAGTTGTAATAGTTGTGTGCTCAAGGACCACTTTACTCTACCACCGGAGGTAATTGTTTATTTTTGAATGGTAAAGTATTTTATAATATCCAGGATTCAAATGCCAGATATATCAGTGAATTAACACACAATGAACAGTTATTGAAAGAAACTAAATTAAAACGGTTTTTGATAACAGAACAAAAGCGATCAAAATTGTATAGATCATTAATTGCTAAAGTTAATTCCAGTTGTATAGATGACGTAAAAATGTTAGAACGCTTTATCTTTAAATTTAGAAACTGTTATCTAATTTACCCAGTGAATCAGTTCTTACTACTTTGAATCAGAATGCATCGTGTGACAGCACGAGCAGAACAGATTCTCAAAGTAATTTTACAGCTTGGTGTTTTATAATCGGTTAAAATTCTAATTTTTGTAGAGTGCAGTAATCGTAGTGAAGTATTAACCAATGTAAGTTTATATTTCTTAGTAGTATTTTTATCTATTTCACTCTGTTATTATCTTTTGTCTAAAGTTTATCAATCCTACGGAACTTTCATTTCCGTTTAAGCCGTTTGTTTGTCAAATAATCATAAAAGGAAAACCTGTGGTTTTTATTGCGTTTCACATATGAGTGAGATTATAATTCATTTGTAGTGTTCGTTTAAATCCTCCTAGTGGTGTTTAAAACCTTAATTAATCAGTCCGTTTTGACATATATGGATTCCAAGTGAATCGCTAAAATATTGTGTTAAGTCACGATCATCATAAACAGAGTTGGATGCTAGCTAGCAGTGGAATCCAGGACTAGCCTTTCATTTTATTCGAGACTGGTCAGCCGAATGTACTCGCTTCGGAACTTGAATCCTACACCGTCCGCTTCAGATACCATCGCGTTATCCATTCAGCTTAGTGAACTTCAACTCTGAAATGTAGGTGCATCGGACTGACTAGTCTCAACTAGTGCGAAATGCGTCTCCTGAGTTTCACTGCTAGCGACCATTTAACTCTGCTTATAACGAGTGAGATTATGTTTAAATACTTATGATAGAATTAATATTCTCAATAGTTTGAAACTAGTTTCAGTATGTAAGGTCTAAAAGTTGTAGACTTTTATTAGTTATATTAATAGAAGTGTTTCATATTGTCCAACCTTCTTTACTATACATTAACGAATGAAGTTGAGGTCATTAGTCCTGGCCATTGACTGATGTGAAAGTAGATTATTTAGTAATTTATTTTTTATAGTAGTAAATTAACTGATTTAAAACCGTTTTAAATTTCAAAACTTTGCAATCAGCCTAGTTGTACTAAAGAACAAAGTTTATTGGACTATTAGATAGTGAATGATAAGCAAAATTTTGGATATCTCTATTCTTCATTTTCAAACACCAAATTACACTTAGGTTATTGTAAACTATCAGTTACTTATCTATGACTGCTAATTAATATTAAAGACATCTATTCTTTGTATCATTCATACAAAAAAATTTGGACTGCGCGGCAGTCCGTTCTGTCCTACTTTACGGCAGCGAAACATGGCCATTAAGAGTAGAAGACACTCGTAAGCTACTAGTATTTGACCACAGATGCCTTAGAAATATTGCTGGCTTCTGCTGGGATCACCGGGTAACTAATAGTGAGGTTATACGCAGGGTATTAGGGAATAATGGTAAATCAGTCGATGAGGTTGTGAATCTTCATCGACTGAGATTGTTGGGTCACGTGTTGCATATGCTTGAACACTGATTACCACGACGTGCAATGCTAACCGGTGTTGGAGAGGGTTGGAAGAAAGTTAGGGGCGGCCAAACCAAAACGTGGCATCAGTGCTTGAAGACACTAACTTCTAGTCTGAGCCATGTTGGTAGATGCAGACTACTTGGTTGGGGACCGCGTGACTATCGTAACCAATGGTTGGAGACTCTGCGTGACATTGTTCAGAATCGATCACAATGGTGTAGGTGTATAATTGCTTAGTATCTTTCTTTCTACGAACTAATTCCTTCTTCCTGTACTATATCCTTGTATGCAATCTTTCTTTTATATATTACTACCATTGAATTAACTACTTCTATGAATCCAGTGTTCTTCTTGCTGTGCTAATGCGGTATGGCAACTTGGACTGATGCATATATGTGCCTGGTCTTACGTTGTAGCTGAGTGACTGGCTGACTTATTATTGAGATATAAAAAGGGATACTTCTATCGTAATATTCATGCAATTTGATGAAGATATTTATTATGAAGATAATCGATTCTTACAGTCTTCTATATATTGTTAGATAGATACTTACGAAGCATATTTTTGGTGAGATTTTACACGTTCTCATAGGCACCTAATTGTTTTTAATGCGTTTTTAAAATTACTTCGAAATATGTTTGTTTAAACATTTGTAAACACAAATTCGTCCTGTTAGCCGATTTCTGTTTAAAGTGGCATAATGTATGATGTAACAGCTCCTTTCTCTACGCGTTATTTCCTTTTATGTTTTTTTTTCAGTCAGAAAAGTTTTTCACACAATCACCTATACAAGAAACTAGTTTATCTAGTCGTACAATAATAACAACAACAAATTATACTACACATAATCATTGCAAATGTACTGAACAGAGTATTGATGACTTGTCCAGTCGTGCCAAGGCGTTATCACTCCATAGTTTCCCTTATCTCGTGAAAAGTTTAAAACTTAGAACTTCTAGCTTGCATGAGTATAAAGCTAGACAAATGAGACAGGCAGTTGGAAGACGTATTTATTCAGATGCTGAACGTAAAAAAGTCTGTGATCTACGTCGAAATAAAGAAGATTTAATTTTATCGGAAAACATTAAAGGTGATACAATAATCTTGTTTTTTCAACCCAACATTATTTTTCAGTCTCTTCTACTGTTGTCTTATTAATCCACCTCTTAAATTAAAAGGCTTGACAGTTTGTGGTTAAAGTTGACCAAAGACACTTTGTGATAGTAATGTAAATGTAATTTAATATACAAGCTAACCAGTCTTACTAAATCAACACTAAGGTTTCAACAAATAAATTGAATTCAGAACCTAAGAATTTAAGGATTTCGTTTATGTGATACAAACTACTGAATACATTATTCACCATCTCTAAGATTGTGTGGCTTCGTAAATGGAATAGAATTAAAACAACCTCAAAATAGCTTGGTACGGTTAAAGATAGTAAGACTTGAGAGTTGTTTCCATATAGTTGTAGGTTAGCTTCTTGGCTTAGAACGTGACGGTGCCTTGGTCTGTAGTGTATGCTACTTAAGTCTGTCAACATAAGTAGTATGTAACACAATAGGAGGTGAGAAATGTGAGAGCAGAAGGCTTAGAGGATTGAGTTGAAGAGAATAGAAAGGAAAATAGGAAGGAATTGTGAACTGGAAGAATCATGTGGAATGTAAATGATAAATGGTGGAAATTTGGAAGTGAAGTATTCAGTGTATTGTTCTCATATTTTACCAAGATATTTCGTAAGTTTGTGTTAGAACTACAATCAGTTGTCCCCACACGTAATCTCGTTCACAAAAGATCTATCTAGGGGAATTAGGAAACTGTAATATCTGACTAATATCACACATGAATTCCTAATCTTAAGAATACGAGTGAAGCACGAACCAACCTTAAATACCGGACATCATGGGAATTTGTTTCTTATCGTTAATAAACTATGTTACTTTCAAATTTCACCAGTATCAAAGAAACGTGTATGGTGTATCGCTAAAGTTGGTGCTAATAAGCATTGTATAAGCTTGTGAATTCATTTCACTCTAAGATGAAAAAGGAAGAGATAATTGGTTGGGAATTTTAAAGAATTTAATGTCTCCATATATTCTTTTGCATTGATTTCTCCTATTGTCAAGGCTTTAATTACTGAGCTAATTTTGTTTCTCAAATTGGTAAAGCATCATCCATACTAATTTTAGTTGTGGAGTAATCGTTAAAAGTCAGCTCAAGTTTATGAGTTCGTCAAACTGACTTCTCCTTATCTAAAATTTCGAGATTACTTCTGTTAATCCGTTGATTGAATCGCAGTTTGTTTTTGTCTAAAACACCATCAGTGATTAAGAAATGATAAAATAGCTTTATTTGATTCTAATCGAAATTTTATAGACTTGTGTCGTCGAAACCAACTCAGAATCCTAAATCATCTACTCTTCCTAAGTAACAGCACATGATATTTTAATTCTCATATTATGTTTATAATGATGTAATCATGTATCATCGACAATTGACAGTGATTATAAAACTGTAAGGCCATCTACCTGGGTATAATTTTACATCGTTATGATGTGGTTATTTATTTATTGAAACACATAAACATTGGTACAAGGAGACACCAAACATATATGTATCACACTTCACCATTCGATTTGTGTGAGGGCTGGAATAATGCCCTAACGCCCAAACCGAGGCAGGTGGTTTTCTTCAATGGCCACTCGTCAAGCCTCTGATCTAAGAGTCTAATTCACAAATCAGTGGAGCAATGTCAGGAGATGCAGTTTTATGGTAGCTAGTGACCAACAATAGGTGCATACGCCATTCGTTCCCTTAAGATCCTGGAGACTACAGGGAACCTTTGGTTTAAAATTAAGCTTTTCCAACTCTCCTAAGTAGATCTTTTATATTCACCAACCCGGTTAAAGCGCTAGACATTCGCTTTTAGCCCTCTCAGTTTCGTAAACGACACCATCATCGAAAGTATACAGTGAATAGGACTTCCTTAGCAGTGGCTGTATATCCGTGGCCACCCCACCCTTAGCCATACATTGATACAGATTTCCGTCAGTTCCAAATAAATTCTCCACGTTTTTTAAAACCCAGCTATCGCATACCTACGTCTAAAAAAGCTTTATGAATTCTATTGACATGGTATTTTATCCTGGTACCCTATTTATAAAGATGAAAGAAATCTTTATTATCGCTTCTTGTTTATTTTTTTTAGCTAAAGCTGAAAAACGTTTTCTTAATGTAAAATCTAATAAAACTCTTAAATCGTCTAATTATTTGAAGAGAAATTCAACACAAATTATGTCTACTAATAGAGATAATTTGACAGTAAATGATCATAGCAACTTAATTGACGAAAATAAACTCAATAATAATTCGAATCAAACAATTAAGTGTAATTATAAAGAGAATGAAGTGCTTTATTCAAAAGATACAAACTTGTCCGATACTATGGATACTAAAGAGATGTAAGTCAATATGAAGTAAATTATTTAGAAAAATACTTATTTAAGTAGTCATGTATGTCTGATTTAATCAATTCAATCATTGTTATTTGTTTCAATTATAATTCAACAGTTTAGGAATCTTTTTTGATTGAGATCATGAACCTATTGATGTTAGACCACCATTGGAAACCTGGAATCAGTGGACGGCGCGAGATTGAAGGCTCTGGGTCCGAATCCCGTAAGCGGGATCGTGGATGCGCACTGCTGAAGAGTCCCACAATAGGATGATATGGCCGTTCAGTGCTTCTAAGTTTTCAATGGTGGTCCAGCATTAATCGGTTTATGATCTCAATCAAAAACTTAATAACCTCCACAACCCCTATACTGAGTTTAAGAATCCTCATAGAATATTCAAAAATGAAGAATATTTGAGCAAACTATTGTTTTCAATAACTTTATCATCAGCCTCTACAGTTATAAGTTCATAGTTGTTGAGATATTTTCCAAAATAAGGCATGTAATAATGGATTTGACAATGTTCTATATTAAAAATAGTGAACGTTTGCATCTGTTACGACATATATACTTCAAAATTGTGTTATTCGCAAGTTAGAAAGGTTATTTAATATAGGTCAGAATTATTTGGAGTAAAGTGTCCAGTCACAATCAGTAGAATAGTATTATAGCAAGAATGAAAATGCGAAAAAATCGCGTGAATGAAATTTATTTCATCTCGTCAACTGAGATAATAATAATATTGTTGTGTGAATATAATATGTAATAAGAGGGGTGTTATCAAGGTAATTACGATAAACGGATTGGGAATGATGGATGTGAAGATTAAGATACGGGTAATTAAGAAAAAAAAGGACGGGAGTGAGAGGTTTATAATATTCAGTTTAGGTATCCGGTGATCCAGTCGTAGGCCCAGGTAAACATAGAGGCTGGATATACCTTTTCTATATACATAAGTTTGGTTTTCTGGAGTTGATCCAGATGGCTTCGGCTATGTAGAGTAACCGTAATCTAGCTCCATGAGGTAGATTTTTTAGAATTGATATAAGACAGAGGAAGCTTAATCTACTTTCATCTGATGTTCACTATCTGCCAAGTGAGAAAGGATAATGCTGTTGATCGATTTAGTGACTCTTTTTCCCAACCATGTTGGTACATGTTCACGAACATGCAAGGATAAAGCCCTCTGGGTACGGCCTGATGATGAAGTTATTGAGAACAATTGTTCGCTCAAATATTCCTCATTTTTGATTATAATTCAATTTAAATTTGAGAAATAACTCATAATCAAGGATAGAATTAGGAAGTTGGTTTCACATTTAATCCTTAATCATTTCCTTCGACTATTTTGAGTATTGTTTTATACTACTTATTTATATTCAGTGAATAGTTGTAATCTTAGGAATGTTTAAGCTGACGTTGTAACTGAAGTTTGTCGTGTGATATTCTGAAATATTCACATGTACTTATAACATTTATTGTATTTATCATTATGATTTCTTTATCTCAATCATTGTAGCAGTTATTCACTATTTTGTGCATTTGTTTAACCCTTGTTTAAACGCAACGGTTTCCATATTGTTTACTCTTGGTTCGGTTTTTTGCTAAAACCTAAAAGCTGTCTTTTGCACTATCGTATTTTGGAATTATTCTTTATGTTACTATGATTCGGAAACCCTTTTTATTTCAGACAAAAAGACGCGGTAAACACCGCAGACACCTCACAAGTCAGTCAGTCAGCTACAACGTAGGACCAGGCACATATATGCATCGGTCAAAGTTCTCATACCGCATTAACACAGCAAGAAGAACACTGGATTCATAGAAGTAGTTAATTCAATGGTAGTAATATATAAAAGAAAGATTGCATACAAGGATATAGTATAGGAAGAAGGAATTAGTTCGTAGAAAGAAAGATACTAAGCAATTTTAATCTCATAGTTTAAGGGAAGACAAAGAATGTATACACCTACACCATTGTGATCGATTCTGAACAATGTCACGCAGAGTCTTCAACCATTGGTTACGATAGTCACGCGGACCCAAACCACGTAGTCTGCATCTACCAACATGGCTCAGACTAGAAATTAGTGACTTCAAGTACTGATGCCACGTTTTGGTTTGGCCGCCCCTAACTTTCTTCCAACCATCTCCAACAACTCAAAAATTGAAGTTTGTAACTAATCTAGTATATTATTCAATAAATAACAGCTGTTTTAGACAAATCATTGGTTTTGTGAACATCGATTTTGTGGGTATCTCAATTGGGTGATTTAGACCATCGAAAGACTCAACATTATATATATATATATATATATATATATATATATATATATATATATTTAACAGTTTTCTCAAACCTCGTTTAGTCATAAAAATTTATTATTCAACTATAGTAAACCAGTTCATGTTAGTGAAGGGCAATTATCTAGTGGAATCAATAGAGATTTATTACATCCAAAATAGTTAATTCTGCAGGTTACGCCTTCTCATTTAAACTTACGAAGCTCTAGATATGCAACATTCATTTTCATTTACCTTTTAGTGGCCTGATATTTGTCTCCATTCAGATTGTTTCTGATGATTGTTGCCGAAATATACATGCCGACAATCGCGTTAGTGAATAACGGAATGAAATGAACCAAACACGAGAATGAATTTTGAATACGTTTGTTTCATACAATCGTGACGCGCATCGATGTGGCGAGTGAGCCAACTCGCTTTGATCAAGCGTAATTCAGTATTTATATTCAGACAAAAATAATTTACATATACGTAATGAATAGGATGAACAATCGACGAACACGATCATGTGAAAGCGGCCACGACTGTTAAGTGAATAATTGAAAAGGTCAAAATATGGCTCAAGAAGGAATAAATTGGTATGTCTAGAATCTAGAATGCCTATATGGGCTTGACTTAGTGGCAGCGACTACAACCTGGCAAAATATAAATAAACGTGTTAGGGCATGATCTTAGCATTCTTCTATTAGAAGTAACCACCTAGACTTCCTAAACACTACTACCGGCCAAATACTTCATGCATTCCAATTTATTATAGCCAATCTGACTCAGTGTATTTATTGTTCCAACTAGTTACTACAATATTTTATTCCATTGGTTAAAATGTTTTTATATTTTGTAGAAGTCTGGAAAAACCCGAACGTGATGGTCATAATGGCGAGATGCTTTCCTTATGGTCTCGCTTATCTAATCGTCTGGATAAAAAAATTCCACCGCTTTGTCTCTGCATGGAATATTCTCGCCATGATATTGATGAAGTCCCACCATGGTTGAAATGTGCCAATAATTGTCAATTTTATCATAATCCAGAAGGTATGAGCAAGGATTCATATTTTAATGACCATATTCTCACGTGCTAGTTGACTACAAACGGTAATCAGTGATTATTATCTTGAAATGCTATGACCTAAAAACCTACGGTTATCACAATTATCAGATCTGTGTTCTGCCGAACACATGCCGTCCCCTTCAATAGGAATGTTCACTAATGGTTCATTTACAAGTACAGATGTATCCTCATAAAAATCAAGTGATGTTCTCTAATTACTACTGAACTGGTAGGAAATTAACACACTTACTTACGCCTGTTACCCCTCGTGGAGGAGTATAGGCCACCCTTTACATTTGCATCAGATCCTCAGTGTTCATCGATGGTAATTTTGCAGTATAGTTCGTCGTATAAATTCCAGATAATTTTGACGATTTTCTCAGTTACTTCATATTGCTGAGGAGGGTTCCATAAAGTTCTCTCGTCCACACTGTCTAACGCTTTCTCATAGTCTATAAAGTTGATGTATGGTGACGCGTTCCACTCAACTGATTGTTCAACGATGATCCATAGTGTTGCGATTTGGTATGTGCACGACCGATCCTTACGGAATCCGGTCTCTTGATCACGAAACTAGAAGTCTACTGAGTCTTTCATCCAGTTCAGCAACACTGTTGAAAACTTTTCTTGGTACTGACAGTAGTGTGATTCCTCTGTAGTTCTCATACTTGCTCAGATCTCCTTTCTTTGGTATCTTGATGAGATGTCGTTCTTTGCAGTCTGTCGACACTTGTTCTTCCTGACTAGAACGTGAAGTTACTTCTATGCCTGACCTCGGTGGTTCAGGTGGTATATAGTCAAGTCTTGCTGTTTTTCCACTCTTGATTTGTCTGATGGCCATCCTGATTTCTTCGATCGTTGGTGAAGTGACATCTATAGGAAGGTCTGTAGGTGGTGCTTCGATGTCCAGTGGGTTCATTGGAGCTGGCCTATTCAAGAGGTCCTCGAAGTATTCTGCCCATCTGTTCCTCTGCTCTTGAATCTCGGTTATTGTCTTGCCTTCTTTGTCCCTGACCGGTTTCTCTGGTTTACTGTAATTGCTTGCCAGTTTCTTCGTTGTGTCATATAATTTTTTCATGATTCCTTCTCTTACAGCTTTTTCCGCTGTCGTCGCTAGGTCTGTTTGTCAGCTCTAATGCTCCTTATCACTTGCTCGTTTACTTCTGTGTATTTAGCTTGTGCCTTAACTTTCTCTGTTCTTGTTCGGTTTTTCTTAACTGCTATCTCCTTTTTCTTCCTTTCTTGAATCATGCTTAGGGTTTCGATAGAGATCCATTCCTTATGATGATGCTTCTTGCGATCCGGAACCTCCTGGAATTTTGAATTTAGTGTTTTTTTGTTGCTTTTCCAGTTGTCCTTCATCGTCGTTTATTCCTTTTTGAGTAGATCCTATGAGGCTTGGAGCCTGTTGTTGAGAGTTATTTTGAATTCGCTGAGTTTGTCAGTATGTCGAAGGAAGGCTGTAATGAACCTTTGGAGTGCTTCTTCCTCCAGTTTTCCAGTGTTTCTTTATCTTCACTTTCATCATGGCCACAACCAAGTGATGATCTGAAGCTATGTCAGTTCCTCTCCTGGTTCTCACATCGCTTATCCTTCGGAATGTTTTATTAATGCAAACATAATCGACCTTGTTTTCCGTTGTGTGTTCCGGTAAGACTCGTGTAGCTTTGCGCCACTTATAACCAGATTTTTGAATGCACGTATATTTGCGAATCTCTCCCCATTTTCGTTTTTGTCTCCTAGTCCATGTCGTCCCATGATATCTTCACTACCGTTGTTATCCGTTCCAACTTCGACGTTTAGATCTCCCATTAAGATGGTCAGGTCGTTTGCTGGACACTGGGGCATGATCGATTGCAGCCTCTCGTAGAACTGATCTATATGGTCGTCATTGTTATCACTGGTCGGTGCATAACATTCACTGCAATTGCCTCATTCTTTGTTTTTGAGGAACATGGGTCTGTGACATTCCCATCCTATAAGTGCTTTACGTGCTTCTTTGGACAACATCAGAGCAACTCCTTGAATGTATGGAGCATTTTCTTCATCGTGACCAGAGTACATCAGCATTTCTCCTGAATCTAATATTTTCTGTCCAGCTTGGGTCCAATGGGTTTCACTGATTCCACGCACCGCCAAGCTGGCTCGATCTCAAGCATTGTATGGACATTCCATGTACCTGCAAAAATTGTTGTTCTGGTTGTTAAAAAGGGCTTCGGTCTCGTGACTTCCGAAGAATCTTGGGTTTCATCATTTGGCGTGATAATTCTTCCTTCAACTTCCAGGGTAGAGTTTAAATTGTTTAATCTGATTAGCGTTTTTAACAAGGTTGTTTCCTACGGGATGGGGTTGCCGACCTCACACCCAACATTCCTTTTTTATCCGGGCCTGTGACAGGCAGTAACTCTAGAAGAACTACAGAAAAATTTAAGATTCCCATTGTGAAAATTAGAACAACACATATAAGCGAACAATTGTTTTCAATTAGATCGTCATCAGGCTTTGCTCATATTGCCTTGATTGGTTTAAAATTTTCGTATAAATATCCATGTATATTAGAGTAAAGCCTGATGACGATCTAATTTAAAACAATTGTTCGCTTATATGTGTTGTTCTAGAAAAATTTAAATTGACACGTATTGGTTGATAAATACCTTTGGTTGCTGCTTTATTCTAGTGAAGATTAAATTACGAGTAACTTCTGAGACCTATCAATGGACTAATATTATCTATATATTCTTATGGTATAACTATTCAATAACTAGATTGTGTATATCTACATCCCTCTTATTATAAGCTTCATTTTGACCTATAAATTATTATTGTACGATTTACTGTTCTTAAGTTACGTCCAGTTTATTGACAACTGTCTCCCACGTTCACATCCACATTTTGGCTTTATTGTGTATAAATGTTATTTCCTATTTTATGGTGCGTTGTGGTCTGTTTGGTTGATATATAAATCCAGTTATGTCTGAAATAAATGATTCACATAGTTGAGGCTGTTATTGGCATTCTGGACTCAACTGAGTGGGTTAGGCGAGCAACGGACCAATAGGACGCTCGGCTGATCAGACCGGACGGACGTCACTGGTCTAGTACAGTACAAGAGCGAATAAGTCGTATTTTGATTGGCGAATAAATTACGTGATAACTAGCAGGCCATAAAAACACAACAGTCGCTTAGCTGGAGAATATTTTCACAAAGAAGTCTAATAACTTCTGATTTGTTCTTATCGCAACTGAGTCAATTTGGTGATGGGATTTTGTTGTGATTGCTATTTGCCGTGATAGACAGATTACCAAAATGAAATCACTTTAACTGTTTACTAAATGTTAAATTAGATCAAGCACACAGTGAACTTCCTTGCGAAAGAAGTTCTCTAATTATTTCAAACTAAGTTTTTTTCCATTAAAATTTCTTAAACAAGTAAACTACCTTCGATATTTGTCTGTCTTATATAATACTCAACTATTTTGTTGATGACTGGTGTGATATCTATACAAGAAAGTTTTGAAAAATTATTAGTTAGATTAGTTTACCCTTTGTCTTTGTTACCTATATGCACATAAAATTATGGTGACTGACATATATTCAGTCTAATGTTATGGTCACTTGATGGGATGTTTTGTACTTGCTTCATTTTACCCTCATATATTTTGTTCATTAAAATTGAATTTATTGCTGATATTTTGGGGATTTTATTAAAATTGGTACTTTATTTTTATCATAACTCCATGACGAATAGATGGATCTGTTTGTAAACTAAACAATAAATACAAGGTTCGCATAATTCATTTTCTGACATTTTTAAGTGTAGATCACACAAAATGCATGACAATTCTGTAATCTAAGAAAGTGATTCGCTAATACTTTACAATTCAGTTTGTTTATGAGGATTGTTTGAAAGTTAGGGTTAAGTGAACATGTTGCATCAGTAGACTCTTATTAACTCCACTACCTAGTGCCTGGTATAAAATATCAATATTAATTTAAAGTGAAAGGTATATATATATTTATACCATATAGGTTACAAGTAATTGAAACCCGGATGTGCTAATAATAAGGCATTCATATTTGTCATATTGTGAGACAACTCATTTCTCAGGTCATGAAAATTCGTAAAACATTTGATGTCAAACTAATTACAATACGAATACTGTTGCTACATTTCTTGTTGTTTTAGCGAAACCCTACCTTACTGTTAATCCATGGTATACGTTCTCTTATCTTCACAGCTTTTCTTAAGGTGTTACTGGACTATATGCAATCGCTAAACCTGTCATAAGGTCGAAGAACAAATCCCCATCATATTAAACAGCTACATTCTGTGAAATTCGCAACTTTTGGATCATGGTTATCAGATTTTGGTGGGTGATTCTACTTGAATAAAAAAATCATTGGCTAGAAATGTCTTTGTTTTGAATTCACAAAAGCAGTTTAGGATTTTTAAGCTTATCCCCGGTTCCATTTTACGAACTTCATTCGAGTGACCGAGTGATCTTGTAAGTTAATAAGTGTACCCTACTAATCAGTAATATTATGATTGAATGGTACCTAAACTCTAAGATGGGACATCATCTATATTACACTTTAGAGCTGTTACGAGCCCAAAGTTAGTTAATCTTGAGACTGAAATAGTCTACATAATCTGAGCAATATATATTTAGTCAGTCATCATCAACGCATAGGGTATATATTAGTCAAATTCGATAACGTAAACTGACATGATAATATCTGTATTACTAACTGCATCGACTAAAAATCAAAAGTTGACTACATACAAAATATAAGTATTTATTAAAGTACGAAAGGAATGCCAAGAATTATACAAGGTCTGAAACATTCATTGGCATTTCATCAATTTGTGTAGAGTAGTACTGTTCAATATCGCGTAAGATTTTTATATCATCCGTTTTTACAAAGTTAATCGCTACACCTTTACGTCCAAAACGGCCCGATCGACCTATACGATGGATGTAAAGTTCACGATTGTTAGGTAAATCGTAGTTTATGACAAGAGATACCTGTTGGACATCAATACCTCGTGCCCACAAGTCTGTTGTTATGAGGACGCGGCTGAAATGTAAACATAATCAACAAGTGAATTACTAAAAGTCAATTTTACTGACTCGTATTTTTATACTTTTCAATAAAACGAGTATTTAAAATAGTTGGTCTCTTTCATAATGTAAATGAAAAGACGAAGCTTGTCAAAACTGTGATATATTAGCGCAATCAATTTTGGACAAACTGATCATACATATACTTGTTAAGATATTTATATATGAAGAATAAAACTGGAAGAAAAAACGATGCAAATCACATTATACTGGATAATGAATCAATAGCATTAGACTATGTTCGAAATGTATTTGATTAATATATTTCATAGTTCTAATCAACTTCATCTCATTGAATGATTATACAAATACAAGAAATTGAAATTAGCCACGAGGTGGATAGACACGAAATAAATAAACATGTAATCATAAGATGTTTGTTATTTAGAGGGAGATAAAGATTACTTGCAGATTTTGAGCCACTTCAACCAGTGAGTTAAAATATTATAAGCACTTGAATCATGTGATGTGGCCATTCTTGGTTTGATTAAACTCTAACACTGGATATCCAGTTTGGTCTACATTAGTTGTCGTTAGCTTATATATATATATATATATATATATATATATATATATATATATATATATATATATATATATGACAAAGCTTAACTGCTTAAGTGGTGATGGGGACTTTTATGGTATAATACACTAGCTGATTATTGAAATGCTTTACAGCTATAGTGAGTGATGACTGCTTACATTGAAATACGTTACCAGTTACCTATTTTTATCATAAAACGATTAAATGTTTTTAACTACTTAGTAAACCACTTCTACAGTAACTTAAAAGTGAAAATATTCGTATCATGCAAGAACCACAATTTCCATATTAAGTAGGATTTTAAAGTTATTTAAGTCCTTGAGTAAAAACAGTATGGAGTCTGAAAATACCAGTAAAAAAATCGAGTACGTAGATTTGTACCACACTTTATGAACTTCAGCAAAGCACATGACTTGAAAACATTCACCCATTAAATGTGAAATCATCGACGGCATAACTAAGCTTGAGTGGACTCCACAAGGTACAATTTGATGTGGTATGACTAAGGTGTAAGCGCTCAAGAGATAAGATAACAGATTTTGCTTTATAAAGACTGGTGGATTTAGTCTTGATTGTAGTCTCAAGTTCAGAAAGAAACCAACTGATACCTTATGAATTTATATCAAGTATGAAAGTTTGAAACTTGTCTAGACACTGTCTACTTTGATGGAGTAGGCTGACTGGAAGATTATGTGCCCTTGAGTGAAAGAAATGCATAAATCCACGAAATCTATGATGTGTAAAGAACCATAGGCTTTCTCCTGGTCACAGTTAGATGACTGTTATCCATGCCCGGAGAATAGGTGATGTAATTCCGAATTCATCGAATGAGCGCAGCTGTGCTTGTTATATATATATATATATATATATATATATATATGGTGAAACAGGCTAAACTGAACACTCAGAACAGTTTCGAAAGACAGAATGGGAAGATATACATGGAAGGACGCTGGAACTTAAGATCTAGAAGACAGAGTGAATGCATTAGCGCCATTGTAACCGATATGGAAAAGCTCGTAACTTAACTAAACTACATGTAAATATAAGTTTATGATGGCAATTTTAAAGTGTTTAAAATGTAAAAAATAAATATGCTGAACAACCAGGATACTTTGAACATACCTATCCCCAGCTCGGAAATCTTTCATAATTTCTTCTCGCTCTTTCTGAACCATATCACCATGCATAGAAGCCACAGTGAAGTTGTTTTTGAGCATTTTCTCCGTCAACCATGCAACTTTACGTTTAGTATTGCAGAAAATAACAGACTGAGTGACAGTGAGTGTATCGTATAAATCACAAAGAGTGTCAAATTTCCATTCTTCTCGTTCTACTGCCACAAAGAATTGCTTTATGCCTTCCAAAGTTAATTCATCGCTGTAAAATATCAGATACAAGTTATTTATTTATCTGAACACATAAATATTGGTACAAGGGGGCACCAAATATACATATGGGGCCCCCAAATGCCCTGGTTATAACAACAATAATTCTAACAAGAAAACAAACTTATATCAAAATGTTTACACATTTCATGTGATGTTTCAAAACAGTGATGCACTTGAGTGACACGCATTAAAAATCATGGTACATAATTTTACTAATAAAGCATATATTTCATAAAAGTGAAACGTCGAGTAACAGTATATCTGTTCATCGAAACCGGTTTAATTACAAAGAGTAGTATCCTACCCACTATTGTGAGCACGTAAAAGTCACGATCGTTTCTGTTAAATACAGTTGATGAATTTCATAATACAGTGAAAAGAACTCAAACCGAATATCTAGGTATGTTGTGATGATTCAAGATTGACAAATTATTAGGCTTTTATCTTATATATATAATCGGTCAAGAAATGTGACTGATGAGATTCGAATGTACCAAGTTACCATGTAACGGTGAAAGGTATTAGTTGACTTTACATACTTGGAAAAGCAGTTGAGCCGAAAAAACAGATTAAACAGTAATTACACATGCGAGTAGCCGTTTCAAGTGTAATCTCATTACTTACCTCATACTGTTCGCCTTCAAGTAAATAAATAACGTCAGAGGAAACAGAACAGTACTCATAGAGTAAGATGACTTTATTCTACATTGCTAGCTTATTATCAATTACATACAATCGCTGTATAGAACTGAACAAAAAAATACAGATTTTACGAGTCCGGGAATGTAAAATGAAGTAGGCTTACAGAAACAAGAGACGAAAGGTTTTCTAGCCATATTTATCAGTTTTTTTTATCATCACAGTAGTCTGATGGAATCTATACTAATTTACCTCAATAACTTAGTAGAATTGCTAGCCCTCATCCCGATTGTAGCTGCTACATTGATGTAGTGGTCAGCTTTGCCTATCGCGACGACCCAACCGAGTCATATGGGCTGAAACATATTCCTTTAGGTTCCACCCTGGAAGACGAGTTGGCTGGAGAACGGTAAGAGCAAAAGCAGCAACTTAAGGTCCGATCACCGTCTATTTAGAGCAAAGACCAACTTTAATCAGAAGGAAAAGCAACATCTGACGTGGCGACCTTCAAAATCGACTAAACAGTGGACACAAATAGACCACATTACCATCAGCCATCGCTGGAGAGGCTCGATAGGAGACCGTCGCTTATTTTGGAGCACATGTTTGGACTCAGATCATGCCTTAGTTTAAGCACCTACTTGTCTGTCTTACTGGACGTAGAAAATCCACAGCAAGAAAACCCGTTAGAATCTAGCTTAATGATGAAAAAGTCAAGAATATATTTCAGGAACAGAGGGAAAGTTAGTCAACCGTGAAAGTCATGTTCACTTAGATGTAGCCTGGAATGATATCCAGAAAGCTGTGGAAACAGAAGTAGTATCTATTAGTAACTTAAATCAAAAGGCCAAGAAAATTCAGTGGATTTCAGTGACGTCTATTAAACTGATGGATACTCGTAAACTCATATTGGCAGGCTCTAAACACAATGAGAAGCAGAAGCAGCGATAAGTAACAGGTGAGCAATCAGACTTACCAACGAAACGGTTATTAGAAATTCGGATGTTAGTGAAACAATCTCGGAGAAAGATGGGACTTTTATTCACTCTCAATCCAGGAGATTTGATGAATGGGCAGTATACCATAGAGAACAGTTCAACGAGCCTTCAACTAAACTCCAGTTACCCACGATCTCCAATCAACCTGAGTAGTAAACTATTGTATGTCCTCCAACTCTTAGCGAGGTGCCGCCAAATGCCTTAGTACTGCCGAGAGTGGGGAAAGTCCGTTCTCCCTCTCGGGATGCTCCCACATGGCCACGTGCATACAACCATTGCCAGGGTAGTCCTACTCACTGCCTTCTTACGGCATTACTTTTCTTCACGAAATTGAGAGGACGAAAAGAGAAACTCCGGCGCTTTAACCGGGTTGGTGGACACGGAGGGTCTACATAGGGGAGTTGGGAAACCCTGATTCCAAACCAATTGTGCGCATGGGCTCCAGTATCCTGAGGGAACAAATGGCGTTGGTCACCGGCTACCATAGGACTGCATCTCTTTACGTTGCTCCACTGCCTAGTGGGTCAGACCTTTAGATCAAAGGCTCCGGATGTGGCCCCCTAAGAAAACCACCTACTTCGATCTGGGCACCCGGGAAATATCACAGCCCTTACACAAATCTAATGAGATGACAATTATTTCACGAAATACTATGCTCGCTACTATTAGAATTCGGACAATTTACATTCACTTGATTCAACGTGGATCTTTTGATCGAACAAGTGTTAAACATTCGCTTGATGATCTCACGCAAAAAATATCGAAGCTAACTTACCGTTTTACCAGAATCCGAACAGGATTGGTCATGAACTTTGACGTCATTTCGAGGATCTCATGAGGCATTGTGGCTGATAGAAGAACTACTTGTGTACCAGGGGGTAAGTACCGATAAACATCGTAAATTTGTTCTTTGAACCCTTTATCCAACATCTCATCCGCTTCATCCAGAACAAACAACTTAACAGCTCTTGTTCGTAAACTGCGACGGCGTATCATATCTGCACAAAACAAAAACGCACATTAAATCCATAATCTACTCCAAATATACATAACGATAAGTGCGATGAAAACGAACTATTAGTATTCAGTAAAGTTTGTAAAATCAGATCGCTATGGTTAGTCACTACTAATAAGAAAAAATTTAAAATAATTAACAAATAAGCAATGTAACTATCCCCCCCAAAAAACAATGTGACTCAAAGCCGTGTTCATGAAGCTAAAGTTGATAACTGACGGACTAATTAGTGACAGATTACTTCCTTGTATGTTATCCTGTTTATGACACATTTTTAAATTCAGTATTGCTTTATGCATGCTATTATGGCATCTTCCTATTTAGCTATATGATACTGGCTGTTATGGGTCAGTATTTTAAATTTTTTTACCCAGACACTTTAATCAACAGTAGAACTACTAAGAAACACACATGGAACTATAAAGCGTGTGTACATTTGTAGATAAATATTTTCAACAGTACATACTACTCACCGAATACACGACCAGGAGTTCCAGATATGACATGCTGTCCGTAGTCTAGTTTCCTAATATCTTCTCCAATGTTTGTCCCACCATAACAAGCGTGACATTGAACATTCATGTAGTCACCTAGGGCGAGGATGACTTTCTGTATTTGCGAAGCTAGTTCACGGGTTGGAGACAAAACCAAAGCTTGAGTTTCTCTAAGCTGGGTGTCCAACATTTGTAGAATAGATATACCTAATGTTGCGGTTTTGCCAGTACCAGACTGAGCTCTAAAACAGGATAAAAGTTAATAATGAAGTACTTACTGTGCTATAACATCTCGACCCTTTACTATTTGTTTGATAGCTCTTTGCTGAATCGCTGAAGGCCGCTCAAATCCTATGAGATGAACTAAAGAAATAAGGGGTTATTACCATAAGCGTATATCCCACGAAGTAGATCGTCTCGGAGACACATTGAATCGAAAGATGGGATTACTTCAATATTTTCAGATGTCTCAAACTCTACATTCTTAAGATCATCCTCCAAATTATTCCGCTTTGATACACTTTCCATAATTTAGGTAGCAGAGCACTGAAAACATAAGGATGGTTAGAATGTTTACAACGTGAGCATTAAAAGAAAAGACATTCTACTGCTACGAAGTATTTATTTATACATTAACTAAAGCATTAGTACTTCCATGGATCTTCACCAGCTGGAACTTTCCTGTTGCGATAAAGAGCTGATCTACCTTTCATTCCTTCATTCACAGGAATACACCTGTAAAGTGCATAGGAACCGAAAACACCAGCTACTATTCCCGTCACAAACAACCCCATCCGAAGACTACCCGACGACACCTGAAGATTCATTTGCGAGTTTCGATCCCTATGTGAGATGTTATATAATAACACACAAACTAACTTTATAATTTTTGCAAGCTTGATAATCCACGTAAATTATATAGGCAGTAAAGGTGGGTGCAAACACGGATAGCAGGTTTCTACGAACTGTCCTTAAAATTGAGGAAACTTTCATTTACATAGAAGAATTACGAAGAGAAATGTGTGCGCAATAGATACAAGTCCACCGTACAGTCAAGGCCAAATCGAAGCAAATGGCGCAGACCTAATGTTCAATATATTGCAATAGCCAATCTTTTACAACTTACGCTCTACCTAATAATGGCATACGCAGCACTCAGAGATTAGATGAAAACGGACAAAATCATGTCTCCTAGATCTGAGACATACAAACTTTACCAAATTCAGCACTTTATAATCCTTCTGTCTCAAAAAAGTCGGTCTCTACCTTGTTCCGAAACTCATACGTGTAACTAAATGAATGCACTATCAACCGATCAGTATGAATACAAATAATTTTTTTATCGTACATCAGGAAATTGGGTCTAGTTCATGTCTTTCATATATACACTCATGTTTGGCGAATTCATCTTAGCTGTCTCTCCGAATTTTAAACAATTATCAATACGTCTACCTACTAAGTGAATTTTTGATATTAATTGTACTACTAAGTCATGTTACGGTTAAGGAGTGAGGAAGAAATATTCCTGTAACTATATAAATGTTGTAAAGCCCAAAGGGCTAACCGGCACAATAGTTGGAATTTTTCCTCTACGTGGTTATACTACTGTTCCTTCAGTTAGCTTATTAACGCAAATGCAATTATATATCAACAAACTGTCAGCACACGGGCATTAACATCCAATTTGCCAAATGAAGTAAATTGTAGTGATAATATCAACATTTCTACATCTCTGAATATCTTTGCATTTGTTTACCATAACTCTGAGCATCAAGTACTTGCGCTGTTCGCACATTAAGCTGTTAACCAACGGTTGCTGTTACACATTTTGATATGAGTTTTTTAAATCTATTAATACTAAACCATTCTGCAGTATAATAGTTCAAATTCGTTTATCCCTCAAATGATGTGCACGTAAATTTTCGATTTACGAGTGCTTAAAATAAAACCAAACATTTTAAAATTATCTCACATAGCGATTTATTTGCTGCTGCTATCGTTTTGCTACATATCTCATTTTTAACACCTGGTGGATTCTAACTATTCTCTTAGTAACCATTTGCGCGCGTTGATCTCACCTGGTATTGTATCGAAATCAAGTTATATTGATCCTGGTAGGAGAGTAGTGTAATGGTGTTGATCCTAAAGGCGGTCGATGAAGCTGAATTTACGGCGACTAAGACTTGCAATAAAAACCATAGGGAAGGTCAGAAATGGCGAACGCGAGAGCATCCGATCAATATAGCATGGCTTGGGCATTCGGATGTGGTCATCGTCATGTAACCTCTTGCTTTGCATATTATATTAATTGTTTGATTTCCAGTTCAAATGTATTTTTCAGAAGTCACTAGCCACAAACATTTTCTGTCATGATAGGACAAGTCGGTATGTGTGAATTACACGTAAGGATTGAATGACGAGGTAGTTGTAGAATTATGATCTACTTCGTTATCAGAACTGTTCTAATAATAAACCGAATACTAAAACTGTGGATTCGTTATGATGCAACTGCCTAATCAATAAAATCTTACGTGGAAATCACATCATTGTCTACATTGACTCATCGTATCGCAACAACCAACAATATAAGATGGAGAACGCAATTAAGCTGGAGACAGAATAATATATTTTTAGTATGAATGAAACGGAAAAGTCGTATAAGAATGACTACGCCTGCAGGGCTGAGCCATGCCACCCGATGAATTGAATCAACCTTTCCTGCTTTTAACATTGGTGGGTTTTCTTTGCGTTGAATTTTGAATGTCTGTTTTCTCGATTGTCTCGTGTTCAGCTTTGAGGATTGTGTGGTTAAAGCTCAATGCCACAACACAGTCACATCGTTGAAAATCTACAGTTATGAAATAGATCTGTAGCGTGGCGTCGACTTGGTATTAACTATGAACACCGCTACCAAGAAACACGTGCCAAGTTAATCAGAAGGCGAAGATCGAACGTAAACAGGTTTATTTCGTTGGCGATCTCGTGGTATTGAACGAATACCGAGATCAAGCCAAGGAATGGTACAAGTGGAAGCAGAAGACAGGAGTACGTGCGAACAGTACCAAAAACCGCGGAACAATGATGGAAGGTAACGGAAGCACAAAATGGCTATAATTAGCACAGTTAAACAAAAGCACATTAAAACAAACACTGGTACAGTTGGTTATGATAATAATTGTTTTTATTAAACCAGTCGTGTTCTCGTGATAAACGTGAATCTGTAGTGGCATTGGACAATAGCCACACAATCCACAAAGCTGTGAACACGAGACTACTCAGAAAATAGATATTCAATATTTAACTCGGGGAAATACCTAACAATGGAGAAGGCGCGGAGAATGAATTGAATGGACTGGGTTTGATCGGATGGCATGGCTCGTCCATGCAGGCGTGGTCCATCTCAATGTTACTTTATATCTTCTATTCATATTAAATATATTGTTCTTTCTCTAGCCTAACCTTGTTCTACATCATGTGTTGGTAATTGATACGATACAGTGAGTTGATGTAGTCGATGGTATGACTTCCACGTAAGATCTTATAGATTAGGCGGTTATATCATGACAAATCTACAAATTTAGGATTAGATCTATTATAAGGCCAGAACTAATATCATAGTAGACCATATTCTACAAGTCACTACAGATCTATTGTTCTGACAGCATAGAAAAAATGTAATAATATTAACCAATCTATGCGACATATTCTTTATGACAAGGAAAGTGTTACACAGTAGTAACCTGAACCTGCATGGCTGAGTCATGTCATATCGATCGAGTAATTCTGCGCTCCTATTATCGATGTTTTATACAGTGTTCAATGCAAATCTTCTCAGTTATTGCATGTTCTGGTTCAACGATAATCAGTAACATTGCAATCTCATGGAGAAAACCCAAAATCTAAACATTTACCCTTCCAAGTTAAGACTATTTTCTATGATGTTCGTTTATGTTTTGATTGCCTCGATGGACTAGAAAATGACCTACAACTTCATAACAGTGTTATGTACAACGAGCACTTCGACAATTGAATCAACTTAGAAACTTCGCTAAAACGATTAAGCCTTATCACTGTTCATTTACATTACTTACCTTGTGTCAGAAAAAAGGTTTTGGTAACGGAGATATTTAGTTCTTATTATGTTCCTTCTGAAATTAAATGATCTGAACGGTCAATTGTTGATATTCGGTATCATCGTAGAATTTAAGATTAACGTCTAGCCTTTCTCGATTGTCTCGTGTTCAGCTTTGAGGATTGTGTGGTTAAAGCTCAATGCCACAACACAGTCACATCGTTGAAAATCTACAGTTATGAAATAGATCTGTAGCGTGGCGTCGACTTGGTATTAACTATGAACACCGCTACCAAGAAACACGTGCCAAGTTAATCAGAAGGCGAAGATCGAACGTAAACAGGTTTATTTCGTTGGCGATCTCGTGGTATTGAACGAATACCGAGATCAAGCCAAGGAATGGTACAAGTGGAAGCAGAAGACAGGAGTACGTGCGAACAGTACCAAAAACCGCGGAACAATGATGGAAGGTAACGGAAGCACAAAATGGCTATAATTAGCACAGTTAAACAAAAGCACATTAAAACAAACACTGGTACAGTTGGTTATGATAATAATTGTTTTTATTAAACCAGTCGTGTTCTCGTGATAAACGTGAATCTGTAGTGGCATTGGACAATAGCCACACAATCCACAAAGCTGTGAACACGAGACTACTCAGAAAATAGATATTCAATATTTAACTCGGGGAAATACCTAACAATGGAGAAGGCGCGGAGAATGAATTGAATGGACTGGGTTTGATCGGATGGCATGGCTCGTCCATGCAGGCGTGGTCCATCTCAATGTTACTTTATATCTTCTATTCATATTAAATATATTGTTCTTTCTCTAGCCTAACCTTGTTCTACATCATGTGTTGGTAATTGATACGATACAGTGAGTTGATGTAGCCGATGGTGTGACTTCCACGTAAGATCTTATAGATTAGGCGGTTATATCATGACAAATCTACAAATTTAGGATTAGATCTATTATAAGGCCAGAACTAATATCATAGTAGACCATATTCTACAAGTCACTACAGATCTATTGTTCTGACAGCATAGAAAAAATGTAATAATATTAACCAATCTATGCGACATATTCTTTATGACAAGGAAAGTGTTACACAGTAGTAACCTGAACCTGCATGGCTGAGTCATGTCATATCGATCGAGTAATTCTGCGCTCCTATTATCGATGTTTTATACAGTGTTCAATGCAAATCTTCTCAGTTATTGCATGTTCTGGTTCAACGATAATCAGTAACATTGCAATCTCATGGAGAAAACCCAAAATCTAAACATTTACCCTTCCAAGTTAAGACTATTTTCTATGATGTTCGTTTATGTTTTGATTGCCTCGATGGACTAGAAAATGACCTACAACTTCATAACAGTGTTATGTACAACGAGCACTTCGACAATTGAATCAACTTAGAAACTTCGCTAAAACGATTAAGCCTTATCACTGT